AGACATGAGGAATAAGTGATTAAATTGAAGTAAAGGCTATATGAAACGGAGTGGAGGAAAAAAGTTGGAAAGGCAGGTTGGGCACTGGCTGGAAGAACCTTGAACACCAGTCTTACAAATTTGGAACTCTTTGAGGCACTTAGGAGCCATTGCAAGTTTTTGAGCACTTCACCAAAGAAGATATTTCGGCAGCTAACAGATACATGAAGAAATGCTCACGATCATTAGCCGTTAGAGAAATGCAGATCAAAACTACAATGAGATAGCATCTCACCCCAACAAGGCTAGCACCAATCTAAAAAACACAAAATAATAAATGTTGGAGAGGTTGTGGGGAGACTGGAACACTTATACACTGTTGGTGGGAAGGTAAAATGGTACAACCACTTTGGAAATCGATGTGGGGCTTCCTTAAAAAGCTAGAAATAGAAGTACCATACGATCCAGCTATCCCACTCCTTGGAATATATCCTAGAGAAATAAGAGCCGTCACACGAATAGATATATGCACAGCAGTGTTCGTTGCAGCACTGTTCACAATAGCAAAAAGATGGAAGCAACCTAAATGCCCATCAACGGACGAATGGATAAACAAATTGTGGTATATCCACACAATGGAATACTACACAACAATAAAGAACAACGGTGAAGCTGTGAAACATTGTATAACATGGTGGAAGCTGGAACTTATGCTGAGTGAATTTAGTTAGTCACAGAAGGACAAATACTGTATAAGACCACTATTATAAGAACTCAAGAAAAGGTTTTAACACAGAAGAAAACATTCTTTGATGGTTATGAGGGTGGGGAGGAAGTGTGAGGGTTATTTACTAACTAGATAGTAGATAAGAATCATCTTAGGCGAAGGGAAGGACAGCACACACTACAGGGGAAGTCAGCACAACTGGACTAAACCAAAGCTAAGAAGTTTCCTGAATAGAATCAAATACTTTGAGAGACAGAGTAGCAGGGGTAGGAGTCTGGGGACCATGCTTTCAGGGGATATCTAGGTCAATTGGCATAACAAAGCTTATGAAGAAAGTGTTCTGTATCCTACTTCGGTGAGTGGTGTCTGGGGTCTTGAAAGCTTGCAGGCGGCCATCTAAGATGCATCAGTTGGTCCCAATCACCTGGAATAAAGGAGAATGAAGAACACCAAAGACACAAGGAAAGTATTAGCCCAAGAGACAGAAAGGGCCACATAAACCAGAGACTTCATCAGCCTGAGACCAGAAGAACTAGATGGTGCCCGGCCACCACCAATGACCGCCCTGACAGGGAACACAACAGAGAGTCCCTAATGGAGCAGCAGAAAGATGGGGTGCAGAACTCAAATTCTAGTAAGAAGACCAGACTTAATGGTCTGTCTGAGACTGGAGGTACCCCAGAAAGCATGGCCGCTGGATTCTCTATCAGCCCAGAACTCAAACAATTTCCGAGGCCAACTCTTCAGACAGGGATTGGACTGGACTGTGGGACGTAAAGTGATACTCGTGAGGAGTGTGCCTCTCGGCTCAAGTAGATACAAGAGACTAAACGGGCAGCTTCTGTCCAGAGGTGAGAATGGGAAGACAGAGAGGGTTAGGAGCTGGTTGAATGGACATGGGGAATCAAGGGTGGAAAGGAGGAGTGTGCTATCGCAGAATGGGGTGAGCAATTAGGGTCATGTAACAATGTATGTATAAAATTTTGTATGGGAGACTAACTTGAAATGTAAACTACATTTAAACTACAATAAAAGAATTTTTAAAAAGTTTCTGATAGGGCTGGTTATAAGTGGCAGGGTAGCAAATTTAGGTGTATACTTGGGGGTGATTGATCACACAGCAAAATAGGGGATGAGTTTTAGTAAGTAGGAACTTACAGCAGCATGGAGACCAGTTAGAAAGCTGTAACAGTCATCCCTAGGTGAAAATTAACATGGGTCTGATCTAAGGTCAGGGTAGGAGGAATGGAGGCTAGGGAATGGATATGGATGAGACTTTAAAGTTAAATCAAACAGGACTCCAAAACCCATTGGAAGTGAAAGACCATGGGAGAAGGAGAAATAAAAAATGGAACTGAGGTTTCAAACCAGATTAACTGGGAGATCAAAGAAAGGGACAAAGGAAGAGGAGCACATTCATATAGAAAGATATGAGCTTGATTAAAAGATACTGAATTTATGATGCTAAAATTCATGTTATCAGGCTTGCAGTTCTTGTGGTTGTAAATGGAGGACAGGTGCTAAGGCAGGTGAAAGGCTGGGACTAAGGCTTAGAATCATCCCAATGGGCATGTTGTTCTCATCAATAGCCACACCATGCCATGTGGAGCAGATGTTACAAGCTTGGTGGGCAATGAGTCAGATCTAGTCCACAAGCATATTTATTTGTGTGTGTGTGTGTGTTTTAAATTAAACCTTTTTTTAGTATCAGACTGTACTTAAAATATTGATTTCTGAATTCTCTTTTAAAAACCAAATTATCTAGCTAAGTATGGTGCCACATGGCAGCAGCAACTGGAGCTGAGCAGGGCCACCCCCCTTGAGATTGCGGGTGAATTCTCTAATTCACCACAGTCCCACTACTCCCCATCATCTCCTAATACTTAAAAGTCAGTTGCTAAATCTATAGAGACAGAAAATAAAGTAGTGATTGCCTAGAACTGGGGGTAGGGGCAGGGGCTGGCGGGGTTGGCTGGGGAGGCAAGTTGGGGGCTATCAGCTAAGGAGTACAGGGCTTCTTTTTGGGGTGATGAAAATGTTCTAAAATTGATTGTGGTGATGGTTGACCAACTCTGTAAATATACTTAAAGCCATTAGACTGTATACTTTAAATGGGTGAATTGCATGGTATGTGAATTATCTCAATAAAGCTGGTTTTTAAAAATGAAAAACAAAAAAGTCACGGCTATTGCCCTTGGAATGTTGGTTTTCTTGTGGCAGAAAATATTCTCTGTAAATGTGTCTCTCTCAAAAAGGAGGAAATGAATACCTGAGAGAGTCAAATATGAAGAAGAATACATCTTTTTGTGATAACTAAGAATTTCTGCATGTTCATATGTAAGCACATGGCCTGTTTATTAAGGTATGTTACCTTCTTAGCCACTGAAGGCCTTTAGGTATAAACAAAAATCTGGTCATGGCCAACTCCCTGACTTCCACTCACAGCTAAGAAGGAAAGAGAGGGAGAACAAAGGCAGAGAAAGGAAGAGGTGTTCAAATTGTAAAAAGAGAAGTAGAAGCCAGTATCCTGGACACCAAGGGAGGGAGAAGCTTTATCAAATGCTAATAAAAGGTCAAGGAGGATAAGGACAGAGACAAAGTCAGGAGGCCACGGGTGACTATCCAGTAAAAGAGCTTGGCGCGATTAGACCAGAGAGAGATGCAGAGGAAGATGTTGAAGTGTCCAGAAGACATTGTTCACAAATTATTATTTTATTCTTAGGGATGGAGGGATATTGAAGGATTTGTGAGGGGTTGGAGGTCGGGGGGGGGGGGTGACACAATCATATCAGCACAGTCTAGATTATTTTTTACATTAATTTATGTATATTTTGAATTGTGTGCGTGATGACCCAAGGTCACCCCAAATTTAATTCTTTTCAATGCTAAATTTCCCTCCAATCTGAAGTCCTCAGGCTTGTTGAGGCCTCAGTTGTTGATTTCCACCTAATTCATCCCCCATACCTGCTTGAACCAGGAATAATGTATGGTTGGTGTTATCTAACCCAGGGTTTTTCAAAAGGGTTTTGACATTTTGAGCCAGATAATTAATTCTTTATTTTAGGGAATTGTCCTATATATTGTAGGATGTTTCGTAGCATCACTGGCCTCTACCCACTAGATGCCCAGTTAGACATTGCCAGCAAAATTCCCTCCAGCTGAGATCTACTGAACCAAATTCATCATTAGTTATAGCATTTGGGACCAGGAACTCAAGGCCATGCAGGGTCGGTAGCCCAGCTTGGAAAAGAGGACCAATTCCTGCTCTATACCAAGGGGTGAAATCAGATGATGAAGTGAGTGGGAAATAAATGAGAAACTGAAGTACTCATTTGGTTTTACCTAATTTGAACTTCAACCTGTCTGTACCTTAGTCCCCCCACTGAAAAAAGTTCGTATCTTGAGGGTACAAAGCAGACCAAATGCCCAACAGCATCCCCACCCCAAGGCTAGGATTTCTTTCATGGCCTGGGGTGAAGTTCAGAGGAGACCTCAGGATGTGCTGGTTATGATAGTGTGGGTTGGTTTCATGAGACTTGCAGGCCTGCCTCTAAGGAGGAAGAAGAGAAGGAGAGCAAGAATGGTTTTCTTCTGGTAATACTAAGAGAAATCAGTGAAGCTCTGGAGATGTAAGATAGTAGTTGAACTGCAACTTTGAGTAGTCTAGGATTCCAGATAAAGTTCATTTTAGATCTTCCCCTTTACAGGAAAGTCTTAGAAGGTAAAGGAATGTTTCTCTTGCAATAGGGATGTCTAAAATAGATTAGATATGAAATTGTGAGATCTTCTAGAATCCTCTTCTGGGTGGAGTAGGGGAAGGAATTTTATATGCATATGCCACCATTTCTATAGTGATAAGGAAAATTGAGTTAAGACCCTTATCAAGCTAAAGAAGTCTTACAACTCTATTAAACTAAGACTGTTTCATAACTGTCTTTTATTCTATGGAGTAGCATTATGCCTTTCCACCATGGATATGGAATGACTTGATTTATTGTTAGCAATGGCTCCAAGCTGCCTTGCAAGGCAGCCTCTTGTTAATATATAACTCTGTTATCTTTTAGCCCAGTGGTGGACACTTTCGCTGAGGCTGATGGAAACTAATGGTAGTTCTGATATTTAGTCTCCTATTCCATAAGCCCCCTCCATCTTCTCTAACTCATCAGCTTTTTGGTAATGAACCAAGCCCCCAAGTGGTCTCTGAGCAATGTGTAATGACTAGACTTCTGTCTATGTGAAATGCCATCACAAGAAAAGGCATTCATAACCATGGTTTTGCCCGGTTTCATTTCAGGCACTTCTGCATCCAGCTGTGTGACAGCTGCTCTAGGAAACACGTGGAGTCACAGTGTGAACACCAGGCTGATTCTCCAGTACCTTGATTCAGAGAGAAGACAGGTGAGTGTTTTGACTGCAAAACTGTCAAGGTCAGAGAACAAGACCTACCTAACAATCTGAGGGTTCATCGTCTGCAAGTGTTGGCCACATTGTTCCTGAGTCAGCACTGGCGGCGTGTGGAGAGGCTACCTAAAGAAACCACCATCCCAGCCTACCCCAAAGGCCATTGTAATAAGACAGGGAGACAAGTCACACGCAAGAAAAAATGTACGAACAGATCACAGAGAGTTAGCATTCCCCCTGATATTTGCAATAACTTGTAAGTAAATAAAGTCCACGCCTCTAGGGATCTCAAATTCTCCATCTCTAAAGGGTGAATGATCATTTTGTCTTTGCTGAGGATGAGATAATTTGTATATGAATTAAATGGTGGTAGTTCTTTTTGTTGATGTTGGTATGCTTTGAAAATCTTAGGCCAGCCAAATCCTGTCAAGTGAATAAACTATTCCCTAGAATACTAGGTACATTTGCATTAACTCTTAAGCTAAATGATGCCAGGGACACCTCTAAAGGACGATGATTTTTCTCATAGTTCCCTGTTTATGGTTTCTATTCTGGCCTCAAGAGAGAATTCTCCCTTTTCGTTCCCAGAAAGGTTACTTTCTACCCCTTTCTTAGTCTTCTCTCCCTACCCCAAAGAAAGGGATGCCACAGTCTGCCTCCTTTGATAAAATGTTTCATAATCAGGAAACTTACTTTTCCTAATGTCTAACTTCAACTTTATCCTGCTGTGTGAACTAGGTTCTATGCCCATCCTGCAAGCAGAAGGAGGAAAAAGACAGGATTATTATTCTGATTTGTTGGACAGGGCAGAACTCAGAACCAAGATTTGCCCATTTTGTAAATATGTAACAAATCGAAGTTATTAATCAAAGAGGCATGAAATATTGTGCTGGTGGTCCTGGCTGGAGGAGGCAGCTTGGAGGGGGAGTTGTTGCCCTTTACCTGCATTAGGTAAATTGGCTCTTTTCCAAGGAGCCAGGAATCGTCAGAAACAAACATGAGCCTTTGCCTGTTCCAGACATAACTTTCCAAGCACTCTTGGTTACAGACTGGAGGATTCTTCTTGGTTTGCTTAGGACTGTGTAAATAACATTCCATCTTGGTGATTGAGTCAGCCATGTTCTGAGAAGATGGAGCTGCTTGTTCTCATTTAGAGAAATATTCTTGAATTTTCAGGCCCTGACGTGCTCATTATCTCAATGATACCTATCCCCTGATGATTCAAATGTCCTGGGCTCTGAATGCTTTACTTCTCTTTTTGGTGGAACTCATCCAAAAATATTCCTGGAGAACCTAATGACCTTTGGTTTGTACCCTAGGTAATTAATCGTGTTAAATAAATCCTGTCTGCAGCTGTCAAGGATATCATTATGGATTGTCAAGCACTACACCCTAAACTCTGTTTAGGGAAGTAAAATTCTTTGTAGATCAATGTTAATTCATCCATTTTCATGAATTCTTAACTATAGTCCTTAAAGATCTGTAGTTCATCTTTGCTTTAGATTTTAAATGGCAGTCTCATCTTAACATACTGATTTTGTGGTTCAGTCTATTATGTACAATGTCATGGATTCAAGAATCCCAGTTTAAATTCTAGTTAGAATTTATTAGTAAATCAAGAGTTTAGAGCTGAATTTTTCTGTTAATTAACCAGTCATTTCCATTTTGTCCCTGTCAACAGGAAGTTGATGGTAGGACAAATGCTGTGGTTTTGTGTCTTCTTTGGTGACTGAAAGATTTTGGTAGCTCTTGGCTCTTGGCTCATAAGGTCAAATGCAGGCCACTGGTCACAAGAAGAACCAGGAAGGAAGTGTGGATGGATCAGTGACAGTCTGTCAACTCATATCCTATTAGATGGGTCAGCGGTGTTATCTTAATCTACAAAGGACAACTTGTTACTATCATTACTAATCAATCAGGAGCAGAATTAAATGCCTTGAATCATGTTTGCAAACAATAATTAGAAATTAAAGTAAAATTTAACCAGTGTTAAAATGGCCAACCCAGGCAAAAGAACTTAAAATTCCATCTATGGAAATGTACATGTGTTTGGGGCCAGTTGTTAATTTTGTAGCTTAATAAATAGGATAAAGTTTGATATAGAAAATTATGTCTTTATCTGATGAGCTTATCTTGCCTTAGCAGAGGGTGTGCTTAGTGATTCATTGAGCCTTTCCTGTGGCAAACTATAGAAGGTCATATGAAGAGAAACCTTTTCTGAGATACGGGCACCAAGCAGTACTTTAAAGCTAGCCTTTAAGGTGATTGTGCCACATAGCACTTTGCAGCACTACTTAGTAGAACATGCCTGGATCATTTTAGGGTAGGTGGACCTTGGGAACACCAGCTACTTGGAGTAGATACCATGTATAGCCAATTTATTTATTTTAGTACATAAACAGAGACTACGACACCAAGAGATGAGGGTTATGGAATGAGAATTATGTTTTATCCTGTTTCTATGACATTGAGCCCTACACCAGGGCTCTTGAATGTAAGGCTTAAGTTTGAGATCACAGGGCTGGAAAGGGGTCAGGTCAAGCTTAACAGAACTGCGAGCCGATTAACCCAGGAGCTGAATTGTATAGTTAGAGCGAGGAAATAAGTCCTCCCTGGCTGATTATTTCCTTTACACCCTGGAAACTTTATAAAATTATATAACCAAGAAAGAAATCTGCTTATCAGGGCACAAGCCAAGTTAATTCTCTTGTTTATTCTGCTTCAGTGTTTGCAAAAACCCTCTTAAGAAGCTGGGAAACATTTTCTTTTGGACTAATCTAGCTTTTTTCCATTTGACTTTACTTTTATTTACTCTTTTCCTACTCTGCTTCAGTCCTGCCCCACCCTTTTTGCAGCATATTTATCCTTACCGAAGACATGTCCTTGGAGTAGAATTAGAATGGTCTCAATTACTGTATTTTTATGCAAATAATGTACACCTTCTACGTTTGTTTGCCAATCCCACCCTCCCCCTGGAGGTATTTTCATAAGGGCCACTGTGCAAATTTTTTTTTTTTTTAACGTTGCTGTAAAGAAATTAGCATAGTGTGCTTACAAAAATACCTTGCAGGGGGAGGATGCAGTTGGCAAAAAAATGTAGAAGGCTCACATTATTTGGGTAAAAATACGTACAGTATTTTTTTTTGTTTTTAATCATCAAAAATATGTTTTGGTCCATGTGCTTGGCACAGGGATACAAAGAAATAGAAGACAGTTCCTTCCCTTGAGGTTCTTCTGGTCTAATATGGAAGGTGATACATATACTGATGAATAATCAAAGTGCAATGCAGAAGTTAAACAACAAACTAATACTGAGATACTGCCACAAGGCAGATTTTAACTTATTATCTAACAAGTGGTTAAAACAGTAACTGCTCTGAATCCAGATGCAGGTAAAATCATCAGAGGCACATTAAGTTTTTAAAGGTGGGACTTGAGTATCACCTTAAATCAGTGGTTCTCTAACCTGAGTGCACATTAGCCAGGAGCATTTACAATATACCAATGCCAGGACCCTGCCCCAAACCAAAAAAAACCAAACCCATGGCCATCAAGTCGATTTCAACTCATAGCGACTCTATAGGTCAGGGTAGAACCACCCCATAGGGTTTCCAAGGAGCAGCTGGTGGATTCAAACTGCCCACCTTTTGATTAGCAGCCTGTCTCTTAACCACTGCACTACCAGGGCTCCAGACCTTGCCCCAGACCTATCAAAATTTCTGCCAGTAGGGCCGGCCATCAGTGTTTTTTGTTTTATTTGTAAAGCTCCCCAATTGATTTTAATGTGCAGCCAAGGCTGAGAACCTCTGCCTTAAATAGTAGATAAAATTAGGTTAGTTAGAAAGGAAAGGGAGGATGTTGGGGGTGGGAGGTGAACAGCAAAAGAAGAAAAACAGGAGGGCATGTCACATGTTCAGAAGACACAGGTTGTTTTTTGCTTTTTAACAAGAGCAGAGGGTTTGTGCACTCATTCATTTGAAAATATTTATTCAATCTTATTCTCTAGCTTTTGTTGTTGTTGTTGTGTGCTGTCAAGTCGATTCTGACTCATAATGACCCTATAGGACAGAGTAGAACTTCTCCATAGGGTTTTCTAGGCTGTAATCTTTATGGGAGCAGATAGTCAGGTCTTTCTCCTGCAGAGCCACTGGTGGGTTTGAACCACCGACCTTTTGGTTAGCAGCCATGCACTTAACCATTTCACCACCGGTGCTCCTTTTATTTTCTACTAGTTACTGCATAAGGTGCTAGAGATTCAAAAGATAAATAGGAGATAGTTGATATCTTGTAGATGCTCACAATCTACTTGGAGAAATAGACAAACATGTAAACAGTATGTACTGTGAGAACATCATGAGTCAAGTAAGTGTGGAGAGAACCACAAGGTGGTCATAACTGCTTCTGCCTCTAAGAGAGGCTCACAGAGGACGTCATGTTTGAACTTGGCCTTGAAGGAGCAATAGCAGTTGTCTAGGCAGAGAAGAATATAGGGAAGCCATTCTAGGCCTAGAGAAAATATGCACAAAGGTGCCCAGTGATCAAATTGAATAGTGTGTTGGAGTGTAATGTGTGTTGGAGAGAGTGGCAGGAGAGGAGACTGGAGAAATGGGCTGGGCCAGGTTGTGAAAGGCCTCAGATGTGGAGGTAAGAAGATTGGCTGTCATTCCAGGGGCAATGAAGTAGATCATGTGCTCTGGAATCTGACCAACCTGGGCTTGAATCTCAGCTAAGTGATTTGTGCACATTATTAAAACCCATTCTGTCTCAATTTCCTCATCAGTAAAATGGAACTAATAATAGCTACTGCATGTGGTTTTTATAAGGGTAAATGAGATAATACATATATAAAGTGTTGAGTACAGTACCTGGTCCAATCTCAGTAAGTGCTCAATAGTATTTGGTTCCACTGCCAAAATCATAAGATGATTGTAGTGCCTTGGAAGTCATAATGCCTGTCTCATGGGGATGTTGTGAGGATTAATGAGATAAAGTCTACA